GTGCGCATTACATATTTCTAAACCTATTTCATTTCATATTTGAAGGGTTCCCTTTGTTTTATTCAAAACTGCCCCCAAGAAAGCTATCCTTACAACAACTCATGGAAAATAATGAATGTCTAGTGAGTAAAATACCCCAAAGAAGAGGAGACAAATGGTGATGGTCCTGAAATCTGAGTTTCATTTTGCAAATATGTCAAGGTGGTTCCACTTAAAAGAACCAGCCCCAAGGAGGGCACACGTGCCCCCCAACGTGGACAGGGCCCCGGGCATGGCCGGAGTCCTCTCTGAGTGTGGTGAGCACCTTCTCGGTACGGTGACAGCAACTGCCTCAAAGGGACTGTCGACTGTAGCAATTCAAATCCAGAAAAGACAAAGACCTGGACACAGAGCGTGCAGATCATCTCACGAAACAAATTCTGAAAGTGCTGACCTGTGTGTGTTCACTGCAGCACGTGCGCATGTGTGTGTTGTGTCTGGGGTTGGATTGACAACACGCTGCCCTCCTGTCACATGTGTGTTCCAGCAGGTCTGTTCAAAGGCTGGTTCTGTGACTTCATGGTCACACACTGTTTGAGGTGGAAGGATCTCATCTGATCTAACCTTCCTTTGAAGGAAGGCCTTCCCTTTCATAACAGCATCCAAAACAACGCTCCAGAGGCTGCTCACCTCTTACAGCTCATGTTCAGAACAAAACTAGAACTGTGGTGTGCTTGGTCTCCACGAAGGGGGACCAGCGCCCCCAGGCCCCCATGTATGTGGGACTGGCCTGGGCGAGTCGGTCTGAGTGCACTGGCTCTGTCCTGTGACATACAGCCAAGCCCGTCTCCCCGCGCCCTTCAGTGCAGGCGATTTTTCTCCTTTACACCCACATTCAGGACCACGTACCATTCCTGGGAACTTTTTCCTCAGTCCCAGCCCCATCCTGCATACTGAGGCCGAGGAACCCTGCCATCGAATGGGCCAGGTCTGGAGCAAAGTCACCGGCACGGCAAAGACACCCGCAACGTGAAGAGTAATGGCAGGAGGAAAATTAAAGGCAGTGATACAGACGGCGTTTGTAAGAAGCTCCGTCACCCAGAGAAACAGAGAAATTGGGGGGTAAGAGGACGGATATTAAGTTGTAACATAATTTATTGCACGTATCTCCTCTATCTTCTTGGTTATCTGGTTTATGTGAAAATTCGGTTTTCTCTGGCTCCTTCTGAATTCTCTTTTCTCTCAGGCTCTCTGCTCCCAGGATCAGCCCTATTTTTCCTCCAAATTTTTTGAAACCTACACCTACACCCAGTAGCGTCTGCACCTGCCACTGTAAAGTCTGATACTGCATGACCCTTCATCCACGGTCTGACTTCCACAGCCGCCTCCTTCACCCTTTATGAGGATTTCAAAAATGAAGTTCAGGTGTAAGGAATGCATCCAACAGGATCACTTTCAAAACACAGAAACCTAAAATCATTTTTAAAATAATTTATAGCATCACTACAGTTAGCAAGATGACCGAAAACGTCTACCATTTGGTAAAATTGTTCTCTAACCCTGTAAGATCCAATTCTGAAAATTCAGATGCAAAGCAAAAAAGTGGCTGATACCAAACCCTCCCCACCAACACATCTGCATACATAATGACATCATCAATACAGGGCCCTCTTCTCTCCCAACCCCCACTCCAGGCTCAAACAAAAAGTCAGTGTGTGCACACAGAATGCACATTTACCGCGTCTGCTCCACGGCAGAAACAACACTAGCTGCATCTCATTGTTTCACCCTCTCAGCTTGCCCTTTGAAAAAACTGCAGTCCACACACACACACACACACACACACACACAGGAGCAGTGCTCCTTCAAAAGTCCATTTCTGAACGTGAATCCTCTGCCAGCGACAACGTTCAATCTGTTAGCATCCAACAAGTGAATCTGTCTACAGATGCATTCTGTTTAATGACAAAGGAGATATTTTCAAAGTACACTTGTTTGTGCAGTATTTTCTTAAGTGTGACACTTTGCAAAATGTACTTTTGCCATGCCACAGCACCCCAGGGAGAAACGCCCATCTACCCTGTAAAGGCACAGGATGAATGGACGTTCCTGCTCAGGAACGCTCACGCCCTGAACTGACCGCGGCAATGTAGCAAGAGGACTTCTAACTCCACTGCCCAAGTGGGAGAGGTGAGCTAGTCATCATTACCTCAAGCTCTAGGAAAACTGCACAACTATTCTATCTGTATGTTCCTGTTTACCAGACAGCCCCAAAATGACTTTCCATGAATTTCACATGCACTGACCACAGCTGTGTTTTTTGTCTGTTTGTTTGTTTTGCCAGGAAATGCCTCAAGCTTTTTGTTTTTGCAATTGGACCATCACTCTGTTTAGTGTCGACACACAGTGAGTGCTCAATAAAGATGGTAAAGGTTTTCAGTGCAATGTTATAGAAGCATAAAGGTGCCAAGAAATGTAGTATTTTCTCTAAAAGCATAAAAATGCGAAACTCACTAAATCAAAAATCTCACAACCTGAAACACCCGAACATTATTTCAATCTTAACCCATTTTTTTAAAATTGAAATACTGATACAAGCCATTTTCCTCAACATAATTTTAACAGATTTCTACCACCATTCTTGTTTTAAAAATACATTTGTAAGTTCCTACTACAAATGTTGCAAAATGTCTTTGATTTCATGTAAAGCCATAGGTTTAGAAACAATCCACAGGCAAACGGACTTACAAAGACCACCAACCAGAATGTGAGCTTCAGGAAGGGGAGATGGTTATCTGTTTTGTTCACTGCTGTTGCCCCTGCCTCATCCTACTGCCTGGTAGATGGTACTTGGCACCCAGTAAGACTTCAGCTCGTACTTGCTGGATAGAGAGATGCTCTGTGTGCCAGACCCTTCAGCATAACGCCAGACCCAAACCGCTGCAGGACCCCATCAAGCGCCAAGAGAACACCTGGAGCAAACTCCTGTGCAAACACAAAACGAGCCCTCAGCACATAGAGGAGAGGATGAGCAGAAACTCGGGGGGACTGCCCCCAGACTCAGTCTTCACACCCTACCCCAGTGCCTAGAAGCCCACCCACCCATTGAGAGGCTCACCTCCATTAACAAGATCCCTCTTTTCAAAATGCAAGAGCCACTGAAGTCTTTCAACAGGCTTACCAGGTAAATATCTCATCATTGCATTTGGCAGATGAATCGCTTACTTTCCTTGTGGCACATGGTTTACCTGCCAAACGACCCAACCCTGAGCCCTACATGGCTGCCTCCCTGGTGACGAGAGCCACCTTTGCCCACACCTCAGTGCACGTTGGCTCCCAGGCCCTCCAATCCACACACCTTAAATAAGCTTTCCCCCCTGGGGAGGGGGGGCTTCTGATCGGGTGACAGGCAAGCAACATGTAGCTCAGCACTTTGGAGGCCAGAATCTAAAGCAGGGGTGTCAAACTCATTGTCACAAGAGGCCATGTCAGCCTCGAAGTTGCCCTCAAAGGGCCAAATGTAATTTCAACTCCTTAACTGTTAAGGAGTAGTTCCATTTACACAGTCCTAAAATTATTTCAGCCCTTTGAAGGCAGCCACAAGGCTGACTTGGCCCCCAGTAGAAATGAGTTTGACACCCCTGACTAAAGTGATCGTCATGGATCTGGGGCCCAGGGAACCAAGCCCCGGACCGCAGATTTCAACATACTGCCCAGGGCCAGCGCTTGCTTCGGGACAGCGAGGCTCTCTTCCTCTTCCTACCTCCCACGTGACCTGCGTGGTTCTCCTCCGCACCAGAACACAGGCGACCATTGTTGGTGCCACAGTGTGGCAATACTGTGTGTCCCAATCACAGTGACTGGCACAGACCAGGCACGCAAATATTTACAGAATGAACCAAACACCAAAGCTGCTTCCGTGGGCAAGTGGGGAAGGCTGTTTTCAACAGAGCGGAGATGAGAAATGCATCTTTAGCACCTGATTATTGGTATAAAAGACTTTTTAAAGGCCCGTCTAAATTGAGGACAGGATAAATCTGAGAGCCTCAGGTGATTCCTTTTCCCTGAGCCAGTGCGCCTCCAAAGAACAAAACAACCTGGCACCATGGCCTGCCAACAGAGCCCTCCTCCCAGAGGCGAGCTCTCCCGCGTCAGACCACAGACCGAACACCACCACCTCACTGAGGCTGCCCACTTCAGGTCTCCTTAACGGCAGAGCAGCTCAAACCCCCTCCCCCAGCTTCCTCAGAGCGACACTGGGGTTGGGGAGACAGAGACATTCTCCAAAAAGTTCGCAGTGGGGAAAAAAAAACCCCAAAAAACCATGAACAGTAATTTCTACAAACATGCTTCATACCAGATAATTAAACAGAACCCATAGTTATTATGCCTAATAGAGGATAAGCTAAATGGCTTCAGAGCCCATTCTTGAAAATTTTACCAATTTCCCCTTTGGTCAGCCTCCATGACCTGAAGACTTGGCTATCAGATTCTCTACCTGAGATTTTCAGGCGTCAAACTGAAGTACAACTACTGGAGCAGAACAAGAGCCAAAAGCAACAGGGAAGATACCCATTTTCCTCTTCCATCCCCCCCCCGCCCCCACTTGCCACTTAAGAAAAACCGCACGTTTCTACGCGAGGAAAGGGCCTCATCCTTTGAGATGCAATGCAGCGTTCAGCCAGCAACGCGGGCCGCCCAGGACCAGCCCCCACGACTGAGTTTTGCGACCCTCCACAGCCTCCTTTGTCTGAGCCATCCCTGCAAACTGGCGCGGTCCAGTACCCTCCCGCAAACGAGCCTTCTGCCCGCACAGGAACGCGCCCGTAGTCGGAGGACAAGCAGCAGAGCCCGGCCGCGCTCAGAGCCCCTTCCCCACCGCGAGCAGGCCGGGCTGCGCACGACCGAGACCTTGGCCCGAGCGACGGCCGACCGGCGCGGGGGGCCGGGCGGCCGGGCGGCGGCGTGGGGTGGGGGCCCCTGCCCACTGCGCGCCCGGGTCGCCCCCGCCCGGCACTCACCTCCGTGGATGGGCAGCGGTGCCAGCACCTGGCCGCGGACCTCGGCCTTGGGCGAGTCGAGCCCGTACCGCCCGCGGTCGATGCGGAACGTGAGTGGGGCGCCGCGGCCGGGCTCCTGCACCGTCACGTTGATGAGCGCCGTGTAGTACTCCTGGCTCGCGTTGTCCGCCCGCACCGGCCACAGGCTGCAGGTCAGCAGCGCGAGCGCGGCGAGCCGGGCTGGGCCCGCCCGCGTCGCGCCGCTCATCGTCCCTCCGGCCGCCACCGCCGCCGGTCGCGGACCAGGCTCCCGGGCCGGTGCCGAGAGGCGGGGCGGGCGCGGCCGGCGCCGCGGCGGGAGCGCGCGCGGCCGCCGCGGGCCTGAGCACCAGCGCGGCGGCTAGTCGCCTTCACGTCCGCGGCCCGCCCACCCTCGGGGACGCGCGCGCGGGCCCCTGGGCGAGGACGGCGGGTCAGGCTGCGCGCGCCCGCCCACTCCGGGCCCCTTCCATCCCTGGGGTCGGACACGCAGAGTTCGGGGCGCCTCGCGAGGACGCGGGAGTGGGAAGTGCTCAGAGGAAGGTGCGCGGAACACAAAGCCCCGCCCCCGGCGCTCGCTCGCCGCCGCCCCGCCCCCGCCGGCCTAGCGGAGCGCGCAGGCCTGGGCGCAGCCCCTCCCCGCGCGCCTGCGCGATGGTCGGGCCCGCTCCCGCCGGCCGGCACGAGGGCTAGAGCTGGCTGTGGTTGGTGGGTGGGGGGGTGTTCTTTCGCCCCGCGCGGGTCCAGTTTGTCCGTCGGGAGTGACGGGAACGGGGCCTGCAGCTCAGGAGGTTTTCAGGAGCCTATGGGAAAGTTTGAGACGAGAATACAGAAGACAAAAGCTAAAACTTTACAATTAATTTGAAAATGAAATGCCTGATTTAATATGTCAACTGGTCAACTTTGTCATATAAGTGACATCATGGTGGGGGGCGTTCTCTGTAAATAAGACTATCGGGGACCCACTAGTCTGGAACTGTGAGGACCCCGAGTGGTTAGAAAGAACCTCTGCAGGCTAGATGAAACGTCCAGAGGACCCAGACAACAGGGAGATGTCAGTAAGACACCAACTCCACCCCCTTCAGCCCCCCCCCCCAAAGTGCAGACACCCACACACTGTGTCAGTTCAGCTATGCATCCTTCTAAAGCATAAACGAAGGGGAAGGATAGTTCAGGTGAGGTGGAATTTAGGAGCTTATAGGATATTGGGCTGTGTCCTCATTATTTCTTACAGGTGTCTGGGCCTGCAACTTCTGCCTCCTGCAGTGACAGGGTGGAGTCAGCCTGGCTCAGCCAAATACACGGAGAACTACGGTGCTGTTTTGGGAAAGGGGCATAGATGGAATGTGGGTTAAAGCAGTAAGTCGTCCACTGGTGCTTTCTTGGAGGCATCCTTCACAGTTTCTCCCTCCAATGTCTTCCCTTCCACTTTCTCAGCCTCCACCTCCATCATCGTCTGTCTAGTCTCCTCCGCTTACTGAAACTGGATTTTATTTACTTGCCTCCAGGAAGTACAGCTCCTAGACCAAGTAACCGGGCCCCCTCCCAAAACCCAGCGCTCATGCAGGACTCTGCTCTGGCTCTGATGCCACTGGACCCTCTTCACACAACGAAGAGGCCTTGGGACAAGGCACTCAGACTCAGGCACCTGAAACCTGGAGTTCCTGCCCAGACAGTTTCCTCTCACTTGGCATGTTCCGGCTGCCCCTGTCTGACACCTCATGCACCCTACTCCTTTGTCCTTATAAGGATCTATCGAAGTGTGGCATGTTCGTGCCCCCTAGCATTAGAAATGTTTGTGGAGGTCCATCTTGTGGGGAGAAGGTGGGTCTCTTTGAAGCTCTCTTCTGGCCCTCCCTCAAGGGGACAGTTGGCTCTGAAACACTTCTAACCTTTCTCTGGCACTTGCTGATGTTCTGGTGAACAAAGTGGGACGAGGGCTCCGGGCGCAGCTTTGGCGGCACCAGCACGGAGGGCGGCATTAGCACCAGTCTGCACTGGAGGGTGGCGTTAGCTTTAATCTGATGGAGACCTTGCCTTCAGGTCAAGAGGTTTTTACTCATGGTAGTGATACAAAGCTACCTTAAAAAAATCATGGCAAAGTACATACAACATAAAATTCACCATCTTCACTGTTTTCAAGCGCACAGTTCAGCGGCATTGAGCACATTCACATGGGTGTGTGAGCGTCCCCCACCGCCATCTCCGGAACGCTTCATCTGGTAAAACTAACACTCTGTGCACATGAAGCAACTTCCCATCCCCCCGCCTCGGTGCACCATTCTAGTTTCTGTGTCTATGAATGTCACTACGCCAGGTACCTCATGTAAGTGGAATCCTGCAATATTTGTCCTTCTGTGTCTGGCTTATTTCACTTGGCATAATGTCCTCCAGGTTCATCCATGTCATAGCACATCAGATTTTCTTCCCCCTTAAGGATGAATGCATCCCATTGTAGATCTATACCACATTTTGTTTATCCATCCATCGATGAGCCCTTGGCTTGCTTCCACCTTGGGCTCTTGCGAATGCTACAAACTTGGGTGTACAAATACCTCTTTGAGACGCTGACTCAAATTTTTGGCATAAATACACAGAAGTGGGAGTGCTAGGTCATAGGATAGTTCTTTTTCCGTGGTGGTGGTACCATGTCACATTCCCACCAACAGAACACAACGGTTTCAATTTCTCCATATCCAGGCCAACACTTTGGACAAAACTACCTTTTAAAACATTTATTTAATTGGAAAAAAGTGAGTGCATTAGAAGTGTTATGTAAATACAAGCACAGGGGTCCTGGGCCGTGGAGGATGCACGGGAGGGCCTGCCTACCAGCCTGTCGGCCTGTCGGCCAGTCCTTTCTGGGCCATTTATCTAACTCAGCACGTGGGAGCCTCCCCTCCCTCCGGTCCCAACTCCCAGCCCATAAGAAGCCCCAGGTCCCCAGCTGAAACCTGCCTCTCTGCAGAGCTCTCTGTGGCCAGAGCCAGGCCCAGGCCAGGGCCAGCCTCCCAGCTCCCCTCCCTGGTAAGGGCTTCCCTCCTTCAGGAGTGCACCTGAGTCCTTGGGGAGCAATGCTGACACTCCCGGAGCCTGAAGGGGGCGCTGCGGCTGGAGCGCACTGAGGAACACCTGCGTGACTCCGGGAATCAGAGCCACAGCTGGACTCCCTGGTCGATGTTGGAAACCTCAAAGTGTGGGACAGTCTCGAGTTTCCTCCCCTTCCTCCTCCTCCTGTTCCTTTCCTTGCTTAAATGGCACATGGTCCCCTCTGGTCCTAGCGAGGCCTTTGCGGTATTAGGTACGTGTTGTGTTCCCTTTTTTTACTGCCCTTCACCTCTGTTCCTAACCCACACGCAACCATTGTAATGTGCTTGAAGTTTATCTTTTGTGTTGTTGCAGAATGCACACTGTTTGGTGTACGTGCATGTGTTAATTACTGAACTGCACTGGTTCAGATGTCATTCTGTTTCCCACTGTCTTCACCCAGCCTATGTTGGTTTTTAAAAACATCTTTTTCTTACATTTAATCATTAATGATTTTGAGTAGCACCTACTAGATCAAGGTGGAAGACGTGTCCAGCACCCCTGGAAGCATCCCTACACCTCTCAGTCACTGACGCCCTAGTATCCTGACTTCTGTAATGACAGAGGAGTGTGCCCGCTCTCGAACGTCACAGAAACAGAACCACACGCATGTGTTCTTTGCTCTGGTTTCTTTTTTTTCATAGTTTATTTTTTATTGTATTTTTTCCATCACCACTTATTCTTACACCCACTTCCACCTCTACCCACCCTCCTCCCCTGTAGCTTCTTTTCCTTAATATTATGTCTGTGAGATTCTTTTTTGCAGGTACTCATAGCTCTGGGCTTTTTCTTGGTTGTCTAGTATTCCAAAGGGGATTTGCCTATTTTCCTGTGGATGGGAAATGTATGTGTATTGATTTCCAGGAATGGGCTGTCGTGGAGACTCTGTCCTTTGGTGGGTGGGGAGTCCTTGCTGAGAGCTCGTGGTCCGGAGCAGAATTGCTAAATGAGAGGGCTGGTGCTGAGTTTGGGTGGACGTCCGCACTGACGTTTAGGTTGTCTTCCCGACAACCCTGTCCGAACCTCTCTTCCCTGTTTCCACCGTGGGGCTCTGGCCCTTGAAGGTCTTGGTCCACATCAGCTGCCCCCAGTGCTGCTGCCACTGCCGCTCATTGACACAGCCCACCCCAAAGTGTGGCAGAGGGGGGAGTGGTGGCACGAACCCAGTGTGGTCCCCACAGGGCAGGCTGCCTTCCTTATGGACCCCAAAGTCCCAAGAGACACTGTAAGCGTCCTGTAAAGACACCGGTATCGCACCCGAGATGTATCTGGGTGCCCCCCCCACATCTTCACGTTCACATCTGACTTCCTGTCCCCTCCTTTTGAAGAGCCCAGTGACAGGCCCTTTCATATGATGGCCTTCACTGAGGACAGGCAGAGGGACAGGGCCTGGGTCCCCAGGCCCAAATCACTTCTGAGTCACCAGCCCTGTCACATGGAAAGGGTATTTTAGGAAGTACAAAGAACATTTTTATTTTAATAATTAAGTGTTCATTTTAATATTGCCTTCTACTTTATAGCGGGTGATTTCACTTTCAATGATAGTAATGCCGCCTGCCTTTGAAAAGTGAGCTGTCTTAGAGGAAAATATTTAATAGTAATAATCAGGTGGAACACAGATGGGGCACAGTTGTGAAAGTGATGTGCAAAAGACCGAAGTGGGGAATGTGGACAGAGAACTGAGTCGGGGCTTCAGAGACTGGTTTCACGTCAGTGGTGCTGATGGTTCAATATTCCAGAATTTTGCAAGCCATTCATCAAACCATTGGCACCTGGGGATTGGTCATGGTGGTGGTAGGGTAATATTTACACCACTGATATTGGCAGATGCTATGAATGAGGGCTTGCTTGTGCGCTCTCTCTCCCCTCTTCCTTCTCCTCCCCCTTTTCCTTCTCCTCTCCCTCCCTTTCCCCTCCCCCTCACTCCTTCCTCTTCTTTTTCAGAAAGTGCTTTACTACAACGCCACTGGTTCGAATGCCCTGCTTGGCCACATGTCAACTGGGCAACATCAAGGTCATGTCATGTCCCCTCTGGGGTCAGTTTCCATCTGCGGAGTGGACCTACTGACCTTCCTGTCTCTGGTTCCGACAGATGCAGACCAGATGGCGGGTGCCTGGAGGCTGTGCTTCCCACAGTCACCCCGCGTTCTTGTGACTCCTATTGGAGGCACAGAGGCTGTGAGGGTCCCAGTGGCAGCCTGTGTGAGGACTGCTTCACCACCCTCCACAGGCATCACGCAGAACAGGCCATCCCGAGTGGGTGGACACTCAGGCTGGCCAGTGTCCTACCCACGCAGGCAGTAGGGGCACAAGCAATAGCACTTTACGTAGAGAAACACATGATCTACAATGTCTAGCCTTCCCTAATGAAGAACGTCAAGTGTTCTCTAAGGAAAAGCCAAAACAAAGCTTCTCCTGTCACTCTG